GCCCTTCTTGAAGACTGGAGTGATATTCAGTCTGTAGCAGAACTATGCTTCTCTCATATTTCAAAAAAAGGTTGAAAAACGTTTTCAACTGTCAGAGAACTGTTCAGTTAAAGTCTGCTTTAAACTTCACAATCCAGAAATGTTGCAAGAGTCCCTTTTCTTCCAACAACCCATCAATGAAAGGCTGACATCCAGTCCCATCAAGTCATTTAAAGAATGTGTGCAAAAATAATTTAATTGGAATATTCTATGAAGCAGTTAATTTTACTAAGATCTCAGACACTGAAATAATGCTTCCTGTTAAAGGGACACCTGCACTAACCAGTGTTCAAGGGCTCATGTTAAGCTGATTAAACTATGAAGTAACATTCCCCCAAATCTTATTCCAAGAGATTTTGTCATACATGTTTTTTTCTTAAAACAAAGATTATATTGCAAATCTCAAAGCCAGTCCAGATTTGGGGGACAGTTTGGACAGTTTGGTTTGGTTTGGGGGTTTTTTTTTCCACACAATATGGGAGAAAGTCCCTTTAACGAGGAAGGAGACAGATATCACTTAATCAGGATGTGGGAATGGAATCTGTACCTATGGGTAAATGGCAATGCGTTCTGGGTTGGTTCAGCCCTTGGTTCTGAGTTCTGCGTCACTTCCGGTGTCGCTCTCTCGTCATCTGTCCCATTAATACTTTCTGGCGTTAAAGGAGACTGAATATCCCCTCCAGCTGATTCCTTAAGTAAAACAAACAACACATTAAAATTACAAACTGTCCTGCTCAGGAAGACTATGTGCATATAAGCACTAACATTCATTCTTAAATGATACACAAATTTTAGTTAGCATTAATGTGAGGCTCAGATTTCCAGAATCCCCCATGGTCATATTTCATTACGTGAATTTAATTTCCAAGTACATTACCATAAGATTCACATTATCTTGTAAAAAACACAACTGACCTACGAATTATTTGGAAGTATCCAGCCTCCTGCTTATTACATAACTCTCTCTTTTACCTGGTATCACAGTCAGCCCTCATCCCGCTACACAATGGGTGATTATTGACAGTCAGGGCTCTTGTTTCTTACTCTATCTTCTAACACAGTGAAACAAATAATTCTGATATTAATTTCAAAATCTAGCTTTCATACTGCTTATTAACCAAAGAGAACAGTGGAAGGGCCACTGATGCTGTGCTGACAGTTTCACCTATGAGTCACTTGTAAACAGCATTTGTTCAGCAGAGTCCCTGCAAAACTTTTGTAGGCACGTTAGGCTGGCCTAGCTCTTGCTGATCATCGTATTATCTGCAAAGGAGAATACTCCAAATACACCCAGGCAGCTTCCATTAGTTCCATGTAACTGGACACCTGAAAAACTTAATGGCTGACTCCCAGCAGAAGGCACTGGTGCAGTTTTAATCACCCTTCATCATGCCAACATGTACATTTGTATTTTGGCCAACAAACACCATTTGCTAATCTCTAGTCACTGAAAAGTACGTCTATTTCATACAAACAAAGTACATCCTTGTATCCCACATCTTATGGCTTTTCAGTACTTCTGTGTGGTTTTAGTATTTTCTTTCCTACATTCTTTCTCAAGTAATTATTTTTGCAGGAGATAAGCGAGTCCTATAAGCTAAATAGCTCAGTTAAATTTTAAAATGTCTTAGTAGGCTTTTAGTAATCAAGCAGTAACATTTAATTCTAAGATAGAAGAGTTTCATGAATAGAGTTCAATGGACGTCGTGGAGAGGCATCTATACAGCAGAGGACCGGTTGTTTTATCTGTTCTCCATGGGGAACAGGTAAAATTGCTATTTAATGTTATTAAACTGAAGCACAAGCAGAGTCTCTGGAAGGCCAGCAGTTCCTCTTCCCAGCTCTCTGACGTTCTGAACAGGAAGATGAAGAACAGCAACCTCAGAAAGAATTGCAGAGTATCTGAAGGTGGTCATGATCTTACAAGATCAGGGTTTACTTTCTAACTCCACTTGTAGTCTTCAACTAGTTCACAAGGATAAAGCTTTTTGAAAGCCAATACTGAATCTGATGCTCCATTTATAGGAAACGTTGTCCTTGACTTTGAGACTTAACTAGATGGAAAAACTCAGGTCTTCTAAAGAAAGTAAGATCTGGCTGTCATTATCACCTTCCACACCTTTCTGGTGTCTCTTAACCAAAAATAACTGTTGTTCAACGTTTTCACTGCATTTTAAAATACATTAAGCATTTGTAGCACAATTGTCAAAATTTTGCTTTTATTCTGCCATATTTCTCACATAGTGAGAGATCTGTATCTCACTCTACAACTTGAGTTAGTGGGTGATACAACATTTTAATACTGACTTCAAGTTCTATTATATTTAGCATTCATCAAATTATACAACGCACATGCACCAGTGTCTCCATTCTCCACCTTCTTATTAAACTCCTCCTGATTAAAAAGCAGAAATAATTAGCTTATGCTGATTTAATTCCACAGCTATAAACTGTTATTTATAATATAAATGTAATTTTTGATTATATGAATGCAAATTGTTACCTACTTGCAGGAAGAATCTTGTTATTTTATAGCCAAAAATATTAAGTGTTAGTACTTTAAAGGGAAAAATTAAATCTTGATTTTTACAGAACAATTTTACTGAACTGAAACTGAACTGAAAGTAAGTGTGAAAGGAGAGCAGATTTGTCAAGATAATCAGGCAAACGAATTATTTTATAAAAATTATATGGTTTTGTCTATTACGATCCTCTGATTTGATAAACGGTTTCCACTGACATTAAGTGAAAGCCTTTGTGGACCCAAGACTTTCTCTTTTATTTCCTCCTCTTCCCGAACTACACTAGATATTTGAAAAAAATACATACCACCCACTACAACATCTGGATGGCTTCTATCTTCAAGCTAAAATTCCTACAACACTCATAGCAGATACATAAAGCCAGAGCCTACTTATTAAAAAGTTTTAAGTGTGAATGCATAAAAATTATTTCAATAGAAGAAAAACAAATGTGTAAGTTGCATCTTTATTTTTCAGTAAAGCATTTTCATAGACTTCTAATGTGAATGACATTCAAGTGACAAAAATTAATGCAGACAAACCACAGTCTATGTAATACCTAAAAGTTCATTGCTTGCAAGGTTATTAGGGGCTGATTTCATACGTACAAGAGAAGCACCAGACCCTAGTATGTATTTCTTCCACCAATAATACAGGTTAATCAGTGCTCTCACACACTCACAACTATCCCTGCCTGATAACTTATTTGCAGCCAACTATAATGAAGCTGGTTATGAAAAAAGCACTAAAAACAACAGAAAAAGCCATTTAACACTGAACAAGATTTTTACAAATGCTTACAGGTACCATGTTCCCATTTAAAATTTATTAGAGAGAGTAAAAGAATTTTAGAAAGATTTTGGTATTTTTTTGTTCATATGCAATTAAGTTTTTATTCTATACCATTATACCTTGACACAACCACTCCAGACTTTATGGAGCTGGGGAAGAAACTGCAGTCAGCTTAAAAAGCGATTTTCATCCCTCCCTTCTAGCTGAGAGGGCAGGTTAACTTAGTTCTAACATTCAACTGTACAGACGTTGTATGAAAAAACAGCACTTAAATTGAAAATTACTAGTCTTCCTGTAAATCAATGATATATTTTAAGGCCTGATATTTCCCACTCATGACAGCTACAAATAGATATTTCATGCACTTGAGAAGAAAGGTTTAACAGCTATCCTGCGGTATAAAATCACTGTTGTATCATATTTGTGTTTCTGGAGGATACTGAACTTTAAATCACACACTGGTCCTGGACTTACACATGGCCTGAGGATTAGTATTTTTCTATATGACAAATAAATGTGAGAGCCTGACTCAGGACTGGCTTTGTCAGAGATCTGCACTGTCTGAAGGAGCTCTGGCCATACTAATGAGTAGGCAGGACTCCAGTGATGCCAAGCAGCATAAAAATGACAATGCCTACATTATATAAATGAAATATGATAGAGAGGAATTAATCAAAAGTAAAACAAGCAGACTACACAGCACAGATCAAGCCACCTTTAAAAGGTGACTAAAAATGGAACAGAAGAAAAGGAGGAGTAGGCGGTTCTGAAGTCGTGAACCAATCAAACCAGCTCCAGCTTGTTTTCTTATTAAGTATTCCACACATTCCCTAGGATTGCTTTTCTTCATAGTGCTTCTCTGTTCAGTACTGACTGGCAATGGCATAAGTGTGCCAGCTACTGATTCCCATACCATAACACATGTGAAACATTTGTACCAGTATAGAAATTCACGTAACATCCCAGAAAGTTACTTTGTCCACAAACTTTGTCAGTTAATTTTGTACTTCTACAGGTGATAAACCATGACCATTTTGCCAAAACTAAACCATTCCTTGCACTAAATGACATTGTGATTCTAAAACTTTTCAGGCAATAGCTATTCCTAATAGTCTGCATAGGAGGTGCTCAGAATCACAGACAAGACTATTTTGAGTAAGTTACTCACCACACAATTTCAGAAATTAATCTTAATTGGAAATGACTGGGATCAAAATAAATATCTGAGGACAGATCCCTGGTTAGAAAAAAGAAAAACTGAGGTTCAGACTCCAGTTGGTTGCAAGAGTGATGTGGTGAGACTGCAAGCTGCACAACCTGCTCTGTTTGGTCCTGTATGTGAATGTAATTAAGGTAAGTTTAAAAGAGAAGAGAGGGGTAAGAAAAAAAAAAAAAGAAAAAAAAAAAAAGAGGGGGACACACAGTTTTCAGGCTATTGCTTCATGCAGCTCAGCAGACTCCAGATCAAAGCGTTGCTCTTTCTGCACGTAGGCAAGGTTGTAACTGAAAACAGACCATGGGTGGCTTGTCACTCTAAGATCCATGAGTTTATGACATGAGCAGAAGAATTCCCTATATTAAAAGATGGGTCTGGGAAATAGCAGGTGGCACAACAGGTAAGCCAGTGTTTTAGTTTTAAATAAGATAAGAGCATTGCAAAGCTGTATTACCTAAGGCTGAGTTAAAGGGACACCAGGTGGAGTACCTATGTGCATAGGTGGCCCTAGAAGTACCAAAATAGACAACTTCTTTCTAGACTGAAACGTCCAGACACAGCAGTTATAGATAAAGTGTGCATTATTATATGAATCCATCTTAATATAGATGGGTCAAAAGCAGAAGTTCTCTGACACAGGAACGAACAATGCTTTCCTCTTCATTTTAAGAAAGCACCATGTGCTTGGTGAGACTTACACATAACAAAGCAGCATCTCTCTTGTAATTTGTTGGTCCAGGCCCCTGTCCTTCTCTGGACAAGTTTAAGTTCTTTTTACAGTCAACTTAAATGGTGATTTTACAATATTATCTGATATTCTGGGAAATTAAAGCAAAGCCTGCTGGTAAACAAGAGTAGTATTAAAGGCAGTATTAAAGAAACAGTAAGAATGCAAAGTTTAAAATTTGCAGCAGCATAGTTTAAGGGAAAAGGAACTCCCGCTATTAAGTAATTACAAAATTGGGCTATGTATTGCTTTCTTTCTACTATGTGTTACACACACACAAGCACATGTGCACCCCCCCACCCCACCCTTCCCCATGCCATCAGATGAAACAGTATATCAAAAAAATACTCAACACAGAACTACCACTTCCTGGCCATTGTGGCACTTTTCTGGTGGAAATATCTAGCCAAACAGTACCAACACTTTGCTAAAGCTCATAACACCTTAGAGAAGCAGCCTAACTTCAGTGGACTTTAGATAAGACTGTTCTTAATTTTTAACATGGATAACTCTGGTAAGTACTAACTACAAATATTCTATTTCTGAGATATTTCTGTTATCTCTTGTTTTCTATTTCTCTTTAGTTTCACAACAAGCTTTTGGAAGACATTCAGAATTGATAAACTCACACACTGTAGTAGTATTTGCAGGTTTCCATCAAACAATAGTGAACAGCAAATACCTTGTGCGGGGTTTTGTTACACTAGTTGTAGAGATATTTTAATAAAGATTTAATCTGTAGGGACATACTGAATGCAGGAAAAAGCACATGTACTTTCTTTCTTTCAGAATTGTGTAGCACAGAGGGTGGGCAATGCGCCACACCTGGTACTTTAATAACTGGTAAATAATAAGGGCTTTTATTAAAGCAGTACCAAGAGAAATATAACATTTTATTTAAGTTTGACATATTTTCCAGTTTTGATAGGCAGTATCTTCCTACCTATGACTAATTCAAAGGAAAAGGATATCAGCAAGTCCAGAACAGCAGAGGGACTGACACTCATAGCTAACTGGGTTACCATTACAGAGCTCACTACACACAAATGCCTTTGCTGTCAAAGCGTCCTAAAAAAGCCAGGTTCCTGCAAAGTTTTGGCTGGCCACTGAAAATATCTCCTTCCCCTTTTATTCTCCCTCTCTGCAAAGGATCACGATGCAAAAGGGAAAGAAGAGCTGTAAAATGACTGAGAAAGTCAACACTTGAATTACTCGCCTTGCAGCCACTTTTTGGCAGATGATCAAAATTATAGCAAGCGCTCCTTCAAATGCCTCTAGGGTCCCACCTTCCCTCCCCACTACCAAGCACCCATCTTCCCCCCAGGCAATAAATCTCTTTGAATGAGCCCCAGTGCCATGTAAGGGCTGCAGTTTGCCATGAAGCCATCGTTTCTCATCTGCTCCAAACTCAAAATTCCTGATTCAACTCCCTTGTCTCTGGGGAACTAATGAGAAGCATTAAGTATGTGAAGACAATTATGCTGATGTGTCAGTACTTGCACTAACTGTATCTTTCAGAATAATATGCTAACTTATCAACACAGCAAAAAGCCAAGAGATGAAAAGTAAGTCCTGAATGTGAAGTTATTCCTAAGCGTGCAGTAATTAAACTGCAACTCTCAATGCGCATTATAGAGTCGCTCAAGGTAACATTTCTGTAACTGCCTACAGAATAAAATGTTAGGTTCCAGGTATAAAAGGAAATCTGCACAGGAAAATTAAAAATATTAATAGCTCATATAGTTTGAGAGAAAACTTTAACCCTGGGCAGCTCCTAGATGAAAGCATCTTGTCTCTGAGTGAGTAGTTCAAATTTACGTCCAAACCAAACAATAAGCCACTCCATTTGACAGTGTCAGATTTAACTTCTGAGTCCAGACTATTAATCAGCATGTCAAAGAATAAGCAGAGTAACTGTTTTGCCTATAATATTGACTAACTAGAGCCCTGGCTGAAGCACTTTCACTGTTTCTGAAGCCATGCGTATATTAGGTTACAATATTGAAACACCTATTTCTATTATCTCTGTGTTTATTTATGGAATTTATCAGAAATTTAGAGACAGACAAGAAAACTAATAAAAAAAGATTGCCTTATTTTTTTCTTGTTAGAGTAAAGCAAGCAGTTTCCCGTTAATAGCAAAAGCCAACCTAGCCCTTGGGCAAAATGCCTACTGGGAAAACAAGATTAGGTTGGTTCATTGTGTATATTCGTGTGGTTTCATCTGACTTCTCTTGGAAGGACACCAGATGTAGCTTTCTGCTGGCAATAAAACTATTCATACAGCATGTTGCAAACTGCCTGCCATCCTTGTTCCACCAAAGATCCGGAGCGCATTACAGCGCAAAGCACCCAAGAGACACACTGATTCAATGAGTGAAGACTCCCCAGAAAAAAGACTCGGCTGCATTAATCCTACTTAACTCAGGAACCCCTGCTGTAGGTTTAAAGCAGCTTCATCCTCCAAGAGAAGGAATTACCTTTGTCTTCACTACTGCTTAAAATAAAGCAAACAGCTACACACAGAGCCAGAAACACTGGGTGGGGTGAGGGTGGGGGGGTGTGCAGAGGCATAAAGGCCTCATGCCATTTCTTTTTTTAAAGCAAATTCAAAGTATTCAAGTCAATTAATTCTAGGCATGACTAACATAAATATGACTATATATTAAATTTATCCTCCTGTTAGGCCTATATTTACCCAGTTCATATTTTGAGATACCATTTATAATATTTATCATCATGGCTAACTGTAATAAAACTCCAGAACCAGAACATGAATCTGTCATCTTCCTTCAGCACATTTCACAAATGAATACTACACAATAAGAAATAAGCAAAAATCGTTTGCTGCTTTAACTTTGATTTTTGCTGTAATGATTCTTCTACAAAAGTCCTTTACAGTGCACCACCTGAAGTTTCATAGATACAATAAGAAAAACCACAAAAGTGTTTACTATAGATTTACTCACCTAACTGCTCACCATGTTTACTCATTTTCCCGGGAAAGCTCAAAGAAAGGAATAGGAATAAACAAAAGGCTGATTTTATTTTAAAGCACGTTCCTTTGACACATCTGTAGGGTATGATAAGTATATTCTTAGACTTCCTGACACTTTTAGCTGACTGTTGAGAGGATTCAGGATAACTGGGAAGTACCCCGTTCATTTTAACACAACGTGTGTGTAAGATACAACACAGTAAGTAGCACAGATATGAAGTATTAGGCTTGAATCAAGGCAATAAGACTCACTTGAGAGGGTGTACTTGTTAGCTCCATCTTTTCTTGAGATTTTTCCTTTGCTAGTCGTGCAGCTTCTTTGAATTCCAGAAATTTTTCAGCAAACTGAAGGTACATATGTTTAAAAGAAAAAAAAAAAAGTAAAAAGAGAGAGTAGGCGTGAAGTAGTACATTACATGCAGAACAGAATGTTGTACTTAACATTTTACAAAGTCAAATTCTGTCGGTAGAATTTTAAAATTTTTCTCCTTATCAGATACTCATTTAAGTGGATTACACAGTGATATACCTTTCAGTAAATTTCAGACATAATATGAACTGTTTGTATGTCAGGACATTTATGATGCAAAGAAGTTTGATCTGTTGCTGATAGTGTTAAAAAACCTCACCTCAGACATGGCTAATAACAGTGACAAGCTTCCTTACACAGCTGCTTTCAGATTGAGTTTTTACTCTCCTCCTGACAACAAATTATCTGGTTCTGAAGCCTACTGTGGTCACTATTAGCTTAGAGCTGTCATTGGGCTTCAGTCTTTCATGACTGAAGCAATACTGACTGCTTCCCAAATTTTAACAGAATATATAATTTCAACAGCTAATAAGAAAGCAGCAGCGGGAATACAGAGTCAAGTTCCTTTCCTGATTGTTCATTGACATCAATCAAGCTAAAGAACAAATTCACTGAATTAAACATTTGCACATACTTAACACTGGATTCAAGAATTGCACACTGAATTGCCATATGAAGCTTAATTTCTATGCTACATGTACCTCTTCCAGAAAATAGCTAAAGCAGCAATTTAGAAATACATGCACCCTTAAACTTGAGAGATTTAATCAATTTATTAAGAAGAGGGCCTACTTTCTCTGCCTAGAGAAAAAATTGGCTTCATAGAGCTCAGCTTGACACTACACTAATTGCTATAGTAGCCAAACATTTGTTTTTGTTTCCGACTGCTTTTATACAGAACATTATCTTCTTATGATCAGCTTAAGACTGAAACGATCCTGCAAAAACATTGGAAGCTTCACCAACAGCTTCTAAATCTCTCCGACAGCAATATACAAAGAAATTGTTTTGCACTACGTGTGTATTTAGAAGGGACAAAGGCTACTCTTTGTGTGACATAATACAATCATAGAATCATAGAATTGTTTGGGTTGGAAAGAACTTTAACCCTCAACTATTTTCCATCAGAACTTCACTTGCCATGCAAGATAAAAAAATCTTACTGTCTTTAAACTTCTTCTCCTGGTAGGCAATTAGTATTTGAGGAATTATCATTCCTCTCTGCTTGTATCCTCTATTTCACCTGTCTGGTTATCTAAAAGTATATGTTTTGCTAACACAGAATGAGACAAAAGTTACCACCCTGAAAGTCTAATCCAGCATCAAAAAAAGCCTCAGATAATAAAATTGACAACAGATCATCACAACTAGATGACACTTATTTAAGACGTGTACATAGACCTCAAAATCTGATGGGTAACCTATCATTTAAAACAGCTTTTAGACCAGAGAATTGGTAAATGGAGAACATGATGCTGAGGTTTACAATAAATGGCTGAAGACATATAAGGCAGTAAATATGATCTGCTATATCACAGTGGTAGAAACTGTAAAAAGATATATAATAGACAGATCAACAGACAAAATTCTAAGAAAGATCCAGCAAGGCTAATGTAGTGGAAATTTTCACAAATTTACTAGAATTCCTTGAGATAGTCAGGTGATGGATAATAGCAATCTCTTGATAAGATTCCTGAATAACAAAGATGGTATGAAAGGAAAGGTTCACTGGAGGATCAATATTTTAAGGAAAAGATGAAAAATTGTGCAGGGAGACTACAAGAGGCTCTTACAAGTATCTGTGGTTGTATTTCTGCCATTTAGCATACTCCAAAGTTATATGGAATAAATCAGGTCAACTAACTTAAGGGGGTGAGACAGACAGCAAACCTGAAAAGGAATATTTCTTATATATTAGGATACTATCAAAAGCACAGACTTATCTTCTGAATGAGAAGGTTGTCTCAGTTTTTTCTCAAAATCATGGGGCATTCTGTTCCTCTTACTGCAGCAACAAGAGGGACTCTGCTAGCAAAACCTGATCCTGTGAAAGGAATATTCTTCAACACTGATTTCTGATGGAGCAATCTTGAGGTTAACCTGTGGTCTAACATATTGAGAAAGTGTCTAATGAAGATAAACAAATGTTTAATTTATTTTCTTCTACACTGTTTGTACGCGAAATCGATTAGAGTGCCATTATTTTTCTAACAGATACTCTCAATCTGCTAATTCTCAGTCACAATAATTGTACAGAGAGAGGTTACCGCTGTTGCTCTCTACCCCAGTAATTGCTTTAGGAGGACAAAAGCATGTGAACCAAAACTGAATAGTCCAAAAGTCAAACATTCACTATAAACTAAGCAGACAATGATCTGAGAATAGACAGCTTATTCTGTCTGCTCTGATTATTTGCTTCATTAACCTGTTGAAATCAGTCACTAACACACTAGGCTAAAGTTTTTTGTGGTTGCATGTTGCCTTCTACTCCCTGAAACCTGAAATATTTCCTTGGGGCCCAGAGACACTACTGCAAAACAAATTACATACAACCGGGCTGTTCACTTAAGGACTTCGATAAATCAAATACAGAAGAGAAGTTCCAGAATAAATTTTTAAGGCAACTTTCAGAAGCAATCTGTTTCTGAACAACTCCATTAACACAGTTTATGTGTTAGCCCTATTGCTAATGTCCAGTAGTAGCTTGAGCCCTAAATGAGATTTCATGTCATACAGTGCTAGGTGTACTAAAAAGTGCTTTAGTTAACGTGACTACAATGCCAGTGCACAGAAGTGAGCGTCAGTAATCTGTGCAGAGACAAGAATGAAAATATAGATGTGATTTCTCTAAAGCTATGCAGCAGATCCAGGGTTTCTAATGAGCTTTTTTGATTCCAAGACCAACATATCTACCAACTCCAATGACCGAATAATCTAAAGAAAAAGTTTCCTTTCGCCTGTCAAATATGTTTGTTACTTCTAAAATAACACAGAATGTTTTACCTTTATTAATTTTAGTAGCAACAATCAACAATTTCAACACACATGAATATCAGCTTGATAATTAAGATATAATACAACAGGAGCAATTTGATGAAAAGGTCCTGAAGATTCATCACCACAACCTTCAGAAAAGGCCTGCAACCTAGTATTTTTCTCAACAGATTTGTGTATTCTTTGTAAAACACAGCAATCTGAGTAACTGCTAATCAAACATGTACTTAAGACAAAATATCTAATGTAGCTTTTCAGATTATTTTTTCAACAGCAATATAAAGTTTTAAGCCAACGGCATACTTAAAACTCTCAGACATCCAGCAGTGAAAGAATGGGATTGAAACAACTGTAATTAAGAAGGCAGTAAGTACCACATGGGGTGAGAAAAAAGAGTCAAGGATAGGACAGATAGAACATCCAAAATATTTTCACTGACAAGGATAATCTAGTGTTTGAAGACAGTGTGTATGACTACAGCGTGATACTTTTGCCTCCAAAGGAGGATTCGGTGATTCAGGAAAACAAGCAAGTCTACAAGAGACAAACTAAATTAGCATTTACGCCAAGTCCATTGAAATATTAAGAAAAGTTTTTACCATGTTGGTAAGCAAGTGCCTCTATGTCATAATGTCTCTCACAATTTAAGTAAGCGAGAAAGTTTTCAAGTTCACTGAAGCAATGACAGGTGCACAAACATACACACAATATTAGTGTCATTAGAATTTCCTGTGTTTGTGTTGCTTTGTGGAAATGAAAGGTGTCTTATTATGAGAGGAACAAATCTTACAAGTATAACACTTGTCCAAACAAAGCAGATGTACTGGTTCTCGTTTTAATGCTTTTCTAACAGGCCCATGCTTATCCGTGGATAGTGACAATTACTTTCTCAAAATGGCTGGTATGACTATTATTTTTAATAACAAGCCAATCATTATTCCTTACATGTAATATACATTCCTTTAACTGCACTTGGGTTTCCAGAGCTTTTGTATACTTTAAAGACGAAAAATCTCTGCTTAGAGACATGTTCTTAAACTGAAACTGAAATTCCTCATCTGGAGAAAAATTACACTGACTTGTACAGGTTCCTGGACTCATCTACTGGGTAAGTATCAATAGCAATAGGTATTGTAAAAAGGGTGCTCAGTGAAACTACACCATCACTTTGAGAAACAGGGGTTACTGCTTTCCTCAGAATGAGGTTTACTACCCTCCTGCACAAGTAGAACAGAAAAAAAATGTATGGCACAGAGTTTCTTCTGTAAACATTCATCTTTTGTATTCCAACAAGAAAATGTAGTTTTCTTTTACATGGAATATATTTCCCACTAGCTTTACTTTAAGCCTCTAGATGCTGAAATATCTGTAATTTGATGTACTACATAGTAGAAAAGTTAAAGCGATTTGGCTTAAAACACAAAAATGCATCTGAAGACCACCAACAACTTATTTTCTAGGAGATCTAAATACAGAAGAAACACTAAATTGTCTACTCCTTTAAATTCTATAATGAAAAACTGTAATGGAAGAACAACTTTAAAAAACAAGAAACTTAACAAATTAGTAATTAGAAAGCATTAACATAATACACTGCAATACCTTAAATCTCCCTCCTTTCCTCCATCAGTTAAAAGAAAATTTGCAGGTATCACTCTTTGTCTTGTCCTTTTACGTTATAGGGACTGATACAGAATATTTTGTTGTAAATTATTTGTAAATAACAACAGTAGTGAGCACTGAGTCAAGCTACAATGAGCAGGAATTAAATATTCTTAAGCCACTTGACTAGCTGAATAGTTGCCACTGGTCATACTTACTTTGGAAAGGTGATGTTCAGATGAAAATCCCAAGCCATAGACTGTATTCGCCCTGCTGTCTGCCCACTGGCCAAACTTCTGTGATGTTTTAGTAAATGTCATGTTGGGGGTGATAGTGCTATTTATTATTGCCTGAAAAAAAGTAATAGTTGTAAAAAAGGAATTTTCTGGTTTTGACTTTTTTTAAAGACCACTCGTAATTGAAAATGCCAATATTGTAGTCAAGTACCTGTCACTGAATGAGACACACTGAGAACTAGGGAACAGTTTTCTAATTCATTCACAGCTAAAATTACAAAAGCATATTTTCGCATACGTTCTGTAAAAGGAATAAAACCTTTGCAAGCAGTCATTTAGTAGTCAGCAAGTCTAAAAAAACTCCTTCAAAGCATCTGTATAGGCTAATGAGATCAGAATAGAAGAACTAGCAAAGTCCTTTCTTGTCTCCCAAGTGTATTTCTTTGTCCCTAAGGCAATGCCTCTCAAGTCCACTGTAAACTTCACTGTTGCATTCCCCCCATCCTTGTTGCATATGTGATTCTCACGAGAAAACACACAATAAAACAAGAAGCACAATTTCTTTTTAAGCTTCTGTATTACAATAATCTGTTTTTCCTTTAAACACACACAAGCATGCTTAACAGTGACAGGATCATATACCAATTACAGAAAAAGAACTACTCTCAGAATAATTTTTCTTCTCTAGTTCTTGCTATATACAGGAAGAAGGATCACATCCTCCAGCATACAACTTCTGCTAATGTAAATAAAAAATGCAACTATTAGATGATATGCCAGTTCCATAAAAGCAACTAGAGTTTTACCACGGATTTCAACAGTATTTCCATCATGATAAAGTTGGTCTAACATATTCCAAATCTGCGATGTGGAACTATCCAGCTGACACAAAGTACGTCAGGATAAAGTCTTATAGTGATATAAAAGAGTTTTTTAAGTAAAAAACTGATGGTTAGTACAGTTTATAACCAACCAACATGAACTAGAAAGACTAGCCATAAACCCAAATATATGGGCATCTGAAGTGAAACGCAGGGACGCTTTCTCATCTGTCTGGTGCTACGAAGAGTTTCAGACACATTTGTTAAATAATTCATAGACCTTTTCATGAATCACTGGTGCTTTGTAACACCCATGTGAAAGAGAACGTCCTTAAAGCTTCCCAGAAAATAGCACACATTGTGAGCAGAACAATTCAGCAAGAATCCTTCTTACATGCCAGTTACCATGCTCCAGAGGTTATTGTCAGTACGTATTCTACTGCAATTGTCTTACAGTACTGAGTTGGAAATCTTCGCAACATCAGCGTGTTTCCTGCTTCCGTGAAACCGTAGCCCCCACCCTACCCCTCACAGGTTAAAGCCAGCAATTACTGAAAAATACTAGAGCAGCAACAAAATCCACAGGGTCCAAACCATCCTCTCTACTGCAAAAAATGAAACATTTATTTTATTCTTTGAATAGCAGGAACTGTACAGCTGTGTGAAGAACAGCAGTATTTCCTCAGGATGACGACTGTGAGAAACTTCGACATCAGAGGGATCAAGTACTTCTCTCCCTACCGCAAGATATTCTATAAGTCAAAATCAGTCTATACTACTTGTGTGGGATGGCCTTCTGGGTGGATATTAAAATGAGTAGTCATGGAGTCTACTTGGCACCCTTTGCTTTAGCTGAGATTTGGGTAGCACAGGAGCACAGCTACCATCAACATAAGATTTTCGCTGAATTCTATAGGGCAAGCCTGAAGAATTTACAGCTGAGGGGCCAGTTAAGCCCACAAACAGCTCCTATGTGCATACAGTGATTCTCAGACGAAGTGGCGGAGAGGTGTATTGCAAGGAAGTTCAGATGAACACATTGTATCACAACGTAGAAAAACAAGCAAAGATACTGCAGATTAATTTAACAAAACTGGCATCTTCTGTAGAGGCTTTGCAGCTCCACTATACTCACATTAAATTGGAAGAGCAAATCTGGATGTAGGTGACGATATCAAACAGCCACGTCTCTCCATTAACCTTTGCCTCAAAATGCAAGTTTTGCCTGCAATTGTGAACAACTCCTGGAAAATTTTGTAATGACTGAAAGCTTGCATTTGAACCAACAAGCCTCATCAGATCAAGGACTGGATTTGCTGTGTGATCAAAGACTGGAATACCATCTCCAGCATTAATTGTCCACAAAACATTTCCTCAGATTTTCATAGAGGAGAAGCTGGTCAGTGAAGTCACTGGTAATTCAGACATCATTCTCCTTTCTTTCGGCATAAGGTTCAGAGCCAAATAAAGGCAGCAGGCTTGCACTTGCACTATGGCCTCCAACAGAACTCACAGAAAATGGCTGTCTATGCCACATAGGACAGAATAGATAATGCGAGTCAGGGAGGTGGACCTTCTTGGAAATTAGGTGTTCTGGAGTGCACTTTTTCTCATACGCTTCTTGTCTTCTTGTGCACTGCAAGTGCTTGGAAGTGCACTTTTGAAATAACCCGGTAGAATCGCAGAACAGAGCTGTGCAAGTTCACTTAATGCTCAATCTCTCTTGCTGTGGAAGCTGTTAACAGTTAACAAGTTTGAAATTTAATATCCTGGGGACAGTGTAGAAAAGAGTCTTCCTCCCAACTCGAGCTCCAGCTATGCTGCCCAGCTTGCTTAAACCCCAGTTCCACCCACTCCTTAACTTGAACTTACATCACAGACTGAGGAGGGTGCATGTTATGTCACAGATGTAACTTCCTGAATGCAGATGACCCTGAAGACACAGGCTTATGACTTCCAAGCAATAAGCAGGTTTAAAGCCTGCAGGACTGGTATTTGCTGCAGCAGCAGTGGCATGTCTGGGTGAAAATCAACTCGGCGAAAAACCTTGGGGAAACCAACCAGTTTTCAGCTGAGACTGCTCGCTGCTTCAGCTGACCACATGGCTGGCTGCGCAAGAGAGAACCCAAAACAGGCTGCCTGGTCCAGAATGGGGTATCTGTTTTGACAGCAGTCTGCATTTAAGTTGGGTTACAGTGACTGCCAAATTGCTTCCTTGCAAGGGAGAAAGGTATGAAAACCACTTAAAAAAAAATAATTCTATTGAGAAACAGTTGCTCTGATTCTTCTCTTTACTTTCCAGCAGAGAAAAATTAGTTCAAAGACAGGACGTTTCTCACTGGGAAGATGACATTCAGATCCCTGTGATACAAAGAGTCCTTTCCTTGGATTTACCAATTTTACAAGGAAATCTGGGATTTTAATATTCTCTGAATTAAAAGCATTAGTATGCTAGAGCTCTCACATGCTAAATTAATTACACTCTTAAAAAGTGCAATGCTAGAGCATGCTAAAGATACAGTCAGTGTACTTCTGGAAAATATTAGATATGAATCCTTCACATCACATTTTTTAAATTAGAATTTATACTTGAGCTTGTTTTGTCTGCTCAAATAGGTACTGCTTTAACTGCTCTCCTCTATGCCAGATTTCACTGTAGACTTACCAGTATAACAAGCGAAGATTTCATCAGCTTTTATGAATGTTGTTAGAATAAAAGTACAAGACTGTCTTAAAACCAGAACACAGCCAATCTGACAGGCAGACATTTAGCTTTTGAAGAAAACTGATTTTGTTATCTTTAGATTTTGTTGGAATAATAAAATAGCTTTCACGTTTTCCTTTCATATTAGTTTAGCTATGAGTATATAGGACATGTGTCTTAGCTCTTCATTTTACTCACTGCAAACTCAACAGCTGCAAGATACACAGCAGTGGTCAAGCTTTATCTTGTGCTAAAACTGATGGCAATAATACTTAAAACACACAGTATTTTTTAATTTCTTCAAAGGAAGACCACTGAAGACCTGTGCTTACAGGCCTTACTTAAAACCTGTATTTAGCATTAAACAGGTTATCACTTTAATGTGCAACAAGTTTATTTTACAAGTCATTAAAATGTAAAGATCATCTATGGCAGTAACAATGATGGAAGCCTTTACTCAGAAATTACATATACAAGGCTCACGGAACCTACAGACTGGAAAATCGCTCTTTCCCAGAGTCTTCACTTGCTTTAGATGAGCACAAATTATTAGAGGTTTTTCCTATCTTGCATCTGTGAAAAAATTATTAGAGAATTATCTAGTACTGTAGGAACCACCTTACTTATCTCCTTTCTTTCCTCAGTGACTGTCAGAGATTGAATGGAAAAGACAGCAGGACTTTGGAAATAATCCTCACGTCTGTCTGCAGTGCTAGTTGAGAAATAATGGCGGCTTCCTTCTACCACCTCAGAGAAAGAAGTACTAAACTACTTTTTTTCCAAGGAGCTAAGAAATGACTATATAATTAATGAGAATTGAAAGCCTTAGCAACAGCTGCTCAATGTTGTCATGTCCTATTGCATAAGAAATTTTTATTTTTCAGGCCTTCCCTTGATTCCTAGAGTTGTAGGAGAAAAAGGTTGCATAAAAGATATTTAACAAGAGGCCACAGAAACCAGCCTTGAGTTCTGACAGATTACTTGCAACAGTATCTCCCTGCCAGGGGCAACAGGGATGCATATACTGTTCATGACCATAAAATATGGCCTATACACTGAACACTCTATGGTCCTAGAACATTTTCTGGAGCCAAGTTAGAGGGAGACGCATCATTTTATGTGCAAAGTATTTAACAAGGAGATTGTAACTTCAGGAAACAACATTAGACAGAATGCATTAAAAATAAGCAGAACTTGCTTCTGTAGGACTTATTTAATCTGAATCTGGCTCATAGACCCATTGATACGGAATAAGGAAAAAAAGCCTCTCTCAAAATACACCAAAGACCGCCATAAGCAAATTGAAGTGGGAATCTGCAACACACAATAGCATTCCTCAGAGGTGAGTGAAGATCACATCTTTAAAATGTCCTTCTGTTTTCAAGAAAGATTTAATGACTTTCCATCAGTACAGAAGCAAAATTTTATCCAGGAATCCTACTGAAACCCACTGACCTAAGGAGAGGAAAGGGTGTGGGATACAAACAGGATTATCCCCCAAATCTAAAGGATCTTTCTCTCAGACATTCCTTACTGCAGTCTAAGCGAACATACATGTGAGCTGCCATCACTTACTGACTTACAGCTCAGCACCTGAGCCACTGTAAGTGAGCAGCCACAAGCACAACATTCTCTCCTCTATAAAAACCCACGGGGTGTGGTAAACCCCACCAGCACCCAGGTATAAAATAAAATCTGGCTGGATCTATTCCTTCTGAGGGAGGGGCATGACAGCTTCAAAACCAGTATCGTTCAAGAAGTGATTTTGGCCACTGGCAATACATGTATTTGAGACATTTTCAATATAAAAATTGCGATTTAAAAAAACCCCACAAAATAATCTTCATTCAGTTTCATTTCAAAACTTAAAATGGGAGAATTAAATTGCAGAGCTTTTACTTCTTTGCAAATTTAATGCTTCTGTCTGACCAATCAACAATATAAGGCACTACAAGCTCAGATGCCAGCAGCGTTACCGACACCCAGCTGTAGGCCATATAGCAGAGATACTATCTGGCTGCTTCATATTTATATTCAGCCCATTGTATATACTATATTGTATATGTGGAGACGTGTTAAAAAAAGATGGGTCTTTAATCAAAAACAAAAAGCTCCGGGAATTATGCCAAAAGCCCTCTTAAAAGTCTTCCATAGGTCCCCCTGCTATTCACCTGCATACATTTCAGAGCAGTGTTGTTATGTCTAAAACAATAGGTCTTTCTTAATCATGAATGGGATCCTACACCTTAGTCAGACATTTAACACTCAGATGAGAACATTATTAGGATTGCAGGAATCACAAAGAGAGTAAATAAATGTGACACTGCATTATCAATATACCTTGCCAATAGTAATGCAAAAAGGAAATGCAGTAGACAAAAGAACAAATAAATAGGTGAACAACTGCTTGACAGTTCAACTCAGCCGGCACTTTGCAGGCCTTGTAGCTTTGGACAAAGGCAGAGGAACCCTGGTGGATACTAGAATATGGATTTTGTAAACTGTGCAGCTCAGTTAAGGTGCTACAAATTACAACTGGTAGTCTTGATTTCATACAGCATCTAGTTCCAATCCCAAAGTCTGTATTTATAAACAATCACACAAAAGGTATTTTAATTATTTGACAGAACTAAAAGAATAATTTGAAGGAAGGCTGGGAAGGGAAGACACAAGGTATGACTTAAACTTAGAAAAAATCTGGTAAGCTTTTATACCAAAGTCTCAATCACTTAAAGTAGTATCATATAGAGATCTTTGACTACGAGATCTTTTTCTATATACTTCTTAATGACAGAAGTTCTACTTCTTCATTTAAAATAGCAATGATCTGGATATTTAAAAAAAATGCAGGGTAATATTTTTCAGCATTGAACAAATAGCCACAAAATCTCTGCGAATACTGTTATTCTCTAACAGTATTTCAGTTCCAACCATCATGAACTGATGAATCTCCAGAAATTGCAAATTAAAGTCTTTTGAAAGGATTGCAACTTTTGATTACACTCTCTATATCTTTAATGTCCTTATTGCAGAATTTTCTGATATGCTGCTTGTAAAGTTACTGTTTTCCTACACCCTTTGGGTAGAACCTAAGGAACAGCTGAGTATTTTCTCCACGTCAAGTTAATTTCTTATACAAAGTTTCTTACAACAGCAGCTCAACACATTATCCTTCCTAATTTAAAAAAAAAAAAAAAATAAAAACAAAAAAAAGAAAAACACCCCCCAAAAAACCCAAACCAATTGAGTTTTGATAAAAGCTTACCATGGAGAGCTTTATTAGGCGGGAATCCGCACATCCACTACAGCAAAAAATTGGAAGATTATGTAACAAAAGATTTACCAAGTGATTATGGGCACTGAGCAGATGTCCTTCATAATGCTGAAGCCAATTATATTGATAGAGCATTGAACGCAAAGATGAAAACAGGTTACTATAACCCTATTTATACTTTTTAGGGCATCTCACAGGGAATGTCTTTTTAGCCTGCTCATAATATTAACTAAGCATCAAGTCATCACTTAAATTGAGCAACAGATTTATCAAAGTAAATACAAATGCATGGAAAATTGTGTTTTCAAATAAATACTTAAAATGTAATGAAGCACTTAAAACATACTGAAGCAAGGTTACCATTTGAACATGTCAGTAGTCTGTTACTCAGATAATGACAAAAGCATCTGGGAAGATACATGAAAGACATTTAACTAGAACATAAAATACAAAAATTGATGAAGCAAGCAAGTTTTCTGAAATAAAACTGACCTTTGAGCCATCCAAACTGATTATCCTGTAGACATTTCTTGTGCTGTCATAGAAATAGGACACAGTAACAGCATGCTTGCTGGTGGGAACCCAGTTCTTCTTAGTGTTTGGGTCAATCTGGAAGACATGAGCTCGGGTGCTGAAGATGGGTTGTTCCCTGAAGGGTAGAGAGGAAAATTCATGAAACTAACATGCACACAGTATCGTCACACGTAAGTTATCTGACAGTTGTGCCCACTGAAATGTAGACACTTCACTTTGCATGATAAATTTTTCCCAAGATCTTCTGCATGTATTGCTGCATAGAGCAGGTAACTGCATTGATACACATATGCAAGCAAAATGCAAACCTTCTAAGGCAAAAATCAGCACCCAGCTGTAGAGTCCGATAAAGACAGACATCTCTCATACAGATTCAGCCCTGTCCGATCATCACCCCAGCCCTCCTCCTCCATCTATCCCTTTAAACTAACTGGCATTAATACCTGTGTAACTTCATCTCATTACACTGCAGAATGTGTATGACTTCAAACCCCCACACTCTGGTTACTCTAACCAATTTTAGGCCATAATATGAAACTGAACTGTCTCATTCAATGCAATTACTCTAAAACTAACATTAATTAGGGCCAGGAACATGAGTTGCAAAACCCTCACTCTTTGGAGCTTCACACCTGCACATTTTCATAGCAACAATAAATAACATGTTTCAAAGTTAACTGCTTAGCAAATAAAATGATATATGGTAAAAAAAACCTACTATACTTTAGAATTTACAATTTTTTTTCCCCATGACCACTACCGCACATATACTATTTCACAAATCTAAAACTATTTCAGTATCACTAAAATGGTTGTCAGCTTAAATTTAGGTACATTTTAGTGACAAATAGATTGCTGTAGTCTTCAGGAAATGTTGCCATCAAATCCCAAAGATATTAAGCACCAAAACTTTAAGTTGGATTTAACTTTTTAAGTTTTTGGACTTTCTTGTTTTCCCCCATTTCCAGGATGTGAAGAAACATATCCTTTCTCCCTGGCCTCATTTCCCTTTACGAGGTAAGTTTTTAATCAGTTTTCCTGCCCAAAATAAAAGCAAAAGAAGAAATTGGGATTTGGGGTACTCAGAGTCAAAGGGTTTTAATCCAGCCTCATTACAAAGCTGTGAACTCTCGGAAATATCTCTAGTGCTTGGCAGCAAGAGCAGCTGAGACCAGCTGCGTTCAGCAGCAAATTCGTACTACTCAGCTGGGAGTTAAGGTTTCTTGAAGCTTATCTGCCAGAAGATGTGGTGTTCACCATGTTGGGTGTAGGAAGAAGTGATAGTAAGGATACCGAATCGACTAAAGACAGCAAAGACAGAGTTTCAGTGAAAGCTAAAGGAGAAGGAAGGCAGGCCAGGGGGATCAATGCACATGCTAGTCCTCCATACCTCAGCACCAACTCATCCTCTCCTTCTAAATGACAAGCTATAGGAGGTTGGGTACCTGTTTTTCTGATCCCAATCCCTTGCACACAAACAAAGGTTACGCAATGGCAACTTTTATAGCACTTTCGTTTAACAGAATCTTTACACTAATTCTTATAACTTTCAAATATCTACAATTACTTCTTCAATCATACTTAATCTTTAGTTCTATGTTAGATACATTTTGCATTTACCTCCCAGCTAAGGTATGTATCACATCACCATAATACAACCAGTTAATTAATTCTGGAAAGTCAAAGAGCCCATCAAAACAAAAATCTTAAAAGCCTGACAATTTGGATGAAGACTGACACTGAAAGGAGAAAATAAAGACTCTGACCAGATCAACTAGGAAAGATGAAAGAGCTGAATCCAAATTGTAAATGTGTAGTTAGTGAACACACATTTGACCAGCACTTATATTCTGTCTCAGTAGAGTACATCACACAGCTGGGACTCTCAACACACCACACGTTAGGAATTTAGTATGTAAAAAGTAGGCAAAAGATGTATGACTAAAGCAAGTGGGAGTGTCAGTAAAAGTCCAACTGTTCAGCCCTGAGTGGCTGCTCTCCTGCACTGTCAACACAAAAATCTTCCATAGCCCCAGTTAAATACACTCAACTTGTTTGCCGAGGTGGACTGCACATGCCTGCTGACTGACCAACACTGTTGCTCAAAGACAATCAGAGCACTTTGCAGGGCACATGTATGACTCTGGCATAGAGATTACAGTTACGTGTGGAACCACATAAATGAAGATGATTTTCAGTTTTTTTCAGGTTTGTTTTTTTTTTTTCTGATAAAACTAGAGTTACAGTCTTTTCTTTCCAAGTTTTAACTGAAACTACAGCTTTGCTGAATTACAAGCTGTCCACACTCTATGGAAAACACATAGCTCCCTTCATTAAACTAGCTGGATAAATCGTGATTTTGTCAGATTACTGGGGTAATTAGGATTTTTTTCTGACAAAGAGGCTACACCTCAGATGCCTCTAGAATAAGACCAATGTTTTGACACTCAACGACGATCATTTATAATTATTACTTCTTCAGACAAATGCAACTTATGCAACTTAAATCTACAGGACTCGATGTGTTATAAAATCAGTCACTGATGTGCCACTAAAGTCCTTCAAAGCAGCTGTACAATTAGGTCATCTGTACTCTTCTGTAGCAGCATACTGTAGAGCTACTTAAATTTTAGATTTGCTAAAACATTCAGAAACAAACAAAAGGTAATATATAAAACATATGCAAGATTCGTAATTTCAGCTAATCAATCTTTACTCAAGCTTTTTGCTCTTCCATTATCCACACAGGACATGACGCCCTCCCAGTCTGGAAGTTTCAATTAATTCAGTTGAAGTAATACCAGTTATAGGAACATTAGTTAAATAAGAGAATAGTTTCCTTTTTCCCTTGCTAAGTGCTCAATTAATATATACATATTATTACACATGTAATAAAATACAAATTATATTTTATATATCTTATACATA